AGATATTTTATTTCTGTTTGGGAACGGGGAGCGGTTCGAAGCCATGACTGAGAGAGGTTTTGGCTCCCTGAAACTGTGAAAACTGAAAAGACTGCGTTAGACTGTTAGAGAAGACGTAGAGAGATAAAACGGTGCGTGGGTTAGAGAATGACGCGGTCGCTCTCACACGTTTAGGAGACCGGAAAGAGCCGGTTTCGCACGCCTGGGAAGAAGCTGCGTGGAAGGCCTATATTCGCTGGAAGCTTCTTAATGGGCCATGATTTGGTGATGTTGCCCTTGGATTATGGGACAATTTCGAGATTGCCATCGTGTGGGGCGTGATTGGCTGTAGACGCAACCTGCCAGGGGAAAAAACGAGTCCGGATTGAGTTTTAAAACGTATTGGCCTGGCTGAGTCTCCTGTTTACGTTATTGGAAAATAAAATTTAATTTAGTTGGAACCTCTTTTTGTATTTTAGTTATAATTTTTCGTTATTGTAAAATTTGTTTATTTGGCATATTTTGCAATTTAACTACGCGCTCTCTCTCTCTCTCTCTCTCTCTATGATTTTATCACATAATAAATCACGTGAGGATAAATAAAGAGAAATGTGACCTGTTATATGCAAGTTGTTTGATTATAAAGTAATGCATTAATTTTAGATGTCAAAAAAAGATATTATGCACTCTTCGTAGTTTATAATGTAATCTATCATTTATGTTTTATGCAAAAATATATATTGACTATTTTAAAGTGTTAATAACGTTTCCTGGATTCTAAAGTTAATCTCCAACAATCAACGCTAAGCTAAGAAGGGAGATTAATCAAAGTCATCCAATGACCAAGTACTACTGCCAAATTGGAAATTGGGGGCCATGCTGCATGTGATGACAATAAATGGATTCTTATTAAACGACCTAATTATATATTAATCCATGATTACTCCCATAACAGGTAATAATGTTAAGAATCTTATGACTGCAATGCAACCAACAAAGTTGCTGCAGGCATAAATAAGAAAAAGAAGAAGATGATGATCAAATAAAGGGTTTTTTCCCAAAAAGATTCCAAGGTGGGTGGCAGGCAAGAATAACAATTTGAGCCTTATCTATCTCCAAGAATATTAGTATTACTCCAAAACAGTAAACAAACACAAGTCAAATTCTGGGAAGCTGATTTGCCAAGCAAAGCAATTTATGAATAAATGAAGAAAGGAGGTTGGTGTATGTAGTTCACCGGATCACCCGGTCACCTCATCGCCCACAAGGCTCTTCTTGCGTTGAGGGGCGCCACCCACGAGTAACCATATGCTTCAGTGGGCGCACCGAACGCCGCAGTAGCCGTTGTGCTTTTCTCTAGGTTTTTGCCTTTTGTTGTTTTAAGGCCCACAGGCCCCTACCTATTACGCGATTTGGACCATTCTTGCGGCTTTGTTTGCCTCTTTGGGTCCACAACCGTTTGTAAAGTAGGAACACGACACGCGCCGGTTGGGTTGACAATTGGCACATCCAATTATCATTCTGGAATTGGAATTTCTTTTTTAATTTCAGTTTTTATTTAAAGTAATGTTATACTTATCACATTATTATCTTACATTTCTATATTATATGATGTAGTATGTCTATATCATATGTCATATCAATTAAATTAATAAAGTGTATTTTAATAAAGAAAATTAAAAAAATAAAAATTAGTATTTTACATGATGTGATATGTACACATCAATCGCTATATTATATGGTATAAAATTATAATATAAAAAATATAATAAGACTAGTATTACTCTTTTATTTATGAATACGAGTTGGCATGGTGTTGATGTATTAGCGTGAAACATGGGTGACTGGAGGATTCCTACGGCACCGTTTATGGTGGCGTAGTTGAGAGAAAGAAGATGTAAGCTCAGTGTTGTAGAGTGGCTGTGAGACAATGCAAGAAAGAAAGAGCCAAAAGAACAAAGATCGAGGAGGTCCACATGTCCCGTGATATCTAAGTGCAGTTGTAAACGACGCCGGATTCAACGCCCTTATTGACTCCTCGCTTTAGCTCCTCCTGACATGACACTCCCTTCCTTATCAAGTTATCATATGTATGCGAGCACATCCTAGTAAATTTACATCCTTATTATCATCAACATCATCAGTTAAACCCCTTTTTCCAACTAATTATTGTAAATAATTAGCATGTTTAAGTACTTTGGAGCTTTTTCTTTTATCATTGGACAATACGTGTGAGTTGTTTTTTATACAACAAGTTGTAGAACTACCAAGAGAGTTTGACTAAAAAGAGAGAGAGTTATATTGCTTGGAGAAGAAGGTATATGTCTTTCTAGTTTTGGATAGGGTTCATATATATTGCAAAGAGAAAGGCATCTATCATCCTATTAGCCAGCTAGGCCACAACATCATTCTATGTCCCTTTCTTTTCTTTTCATTGAGGTGATTCTATTCATAATTAAACAAAGAATATAATGTTTCAAGTCCTGAGTAGAGAAACTTACCTATCTCGAGAATGTCACTTTAGAATAATCTTAAGACAATCATATATCGTCATGTATTTTAACTTTCTCACGTGCTAATACGTGATTAGTTTAGAATGCCACCACTTTGACATCCTTATTGCGTGGAAGTATAATATAATGAAAATTGATCACACATAAACCACGGCCTTTATGATCTTTGGTTTGCACAACTATATCTGATAATTACAGTTTCCACAGTTAGCGTCCATTCAATCCAATTCAATTTTTTGTCCTTCAATTCAATACTTGGCGGAGGAATTGATGTGCTCAAGATGGAGCCCATGTGAACATTTTCAGAATCGTGTTTCAACAAGAACGAAGTCAACATCACACTTTGGCATCGAACATCAATTTTCGTTTGTATATGTATTGTGTGATATCTACTCGGTTTTGTTGTTTTGCACGGAGCTGCCTCGTGATACAATACCGTTGAACTTTGGTAGTTGTAGCAACGAACCACAGCAGCTTGAGCTTCCTCTCCTAGACCCCTACATTGCTCTCCAAACCCTTTTCAATGATCAATCCAAATCAAGAGAGTTAAAACAAGAATTAACGAACGCCAATCGGGTGTTAATTGGATTTACTCAGATTTTTGGTGCGCTTCCAAGTAAGTAGTCATGGATTCAAACCATATGGTATATGTGTGTGTGAGTTTCCCCTCTCCTTTTTTTAACTTTGACAAAAAAAAAAAACACAAACAAACAAACGAGAATAACAATCAAGGCATCTAAATTTACCGAAGAAAAAGGGTTCTGTTTTGAGAATATGATTCTGAAAGACCAAATGAATTCAAAATTTCAAAGGCCTCATTATCCATGGCCATGTATGTCACCCTTTTCCTCTTGTACCTTACCAATTATCTGCCACGGAGATAGATGATTCAGTTACAAAGTTGTGCTTAATTAATTAAGAAATGGAGAAAGATGCAAGGTGGGGTTTTTCACACCTTTTCTGTGCTCTGCTTTGTATGTGGTGTAATATATGTTGGGTCCTTTCGTTCCTTATTATATAAAGGAGAATTTGTTCAAATACAAAAACCTTGAAAGATCCATTAAAAAGACGTGAGTTTGGGAATATGATTTGTTTGTTCTTGGCGTCATTGTATTTTGGCAAATTGTTAGAATACCAAAGGTATACAAGGTGACAGTTCGTTCAGAGCAAAAAGGAATTTACCTCTGCACTGCATTTTATTTTGGCGGGTAGTCACGTCTCTCATGTAGGAGCAATTTCGACATGGATGAAATCGGGTCGCACACATGAGTGGTGATTGATGCCCTTGTTGTTATCCAGATTCACCTTAAGCTAGCAACTACAGCTACGAATAAGCAATTGGTTCCCTTTCGAGTGTTGATGAGATGTCTGACTACAAATGAGTAGGTGTCTGGATGGTGGGCCTGGGCCTTTTAATTTCAACTGATAAATAATGTCGGATGTGTATTAGAAACCAAATTGTGTTGAATTTAGTCGTTTACATGTATATGAGTAATTGTGAGTCATTCGTACGAAAAACACCACAACCCAAGGGCCCAGGTTGATTTATGAGGAGCAACCCCCTTGACAAACAGCATACCAAATGCAATCCACTTTTTTTAGAACATGCAAGCCACTTTATATGAGAAAGGAATTCTTGCTTAATGGGACACACAACCATTATTACTAACTAATCTTGGTTTGATGTGACCTTAATGACCTACGTGGGCCCTGGCCCATTATTTTATGAACTGGGTTGCTCAACCCATGAGTCTTAGACAACACAATTGGGCTTGGCATACTTAGCATTCAACAACAAGAAAATGGTTACATTGTTTTTATGGGCCTCGGGCCAGATTGATACAAGAACAGATATCATATGACACCATTTACTCACAAACTGCCTTTATTTTTTGCCCCTTCCTTTGGGTGGGTGGAGCTTGGAGGAGCTGAATATGTCAACACATCATGCGCTTATCATTGGGTTTGGTGTTCCTGCGATGTACTTCCCCTCTAAATTATGCATTTTTCTTTTTGCCAATAGGTAGGAAGGGGAGGGGGACTGTACAGTAAATGGGTATCACAAGATTTCAATAACTCATGACCCTATGTACTGTATACAGGCTAGCAATAGTCGTTCACAAAGCACATAAACGGCTATAAGTCCTTAGTATACATACTAGCAATTGGGCTTCGTACATCCACAAGCGGCTCTAGCAAATTCCACAACATTTTTTATCAGTGGAATCATCGACAAATGCCAACCTGGCAGGAAGTTAGTTAGTTACAATCGCCCAGCCGTGCACCAACGAACTATCCGATCTCATGCAAAACACCCCACAGAGTCCCATAAATACGACTCGCAAAACCAAACGCTGACTTGTAACTTTGATTTCGCTCCCATTTCCCTAACCCTGTCTTCTCCTCCCAAACTTAATTCGAAAGCCTACAGAGAATTCCAAAAGAAACACGTGGTCTTGTGGTCGAATCTGCCGCCTTATAATAAAAAAAAACACACACACACCCCAACGATCATGACAGGTCAAAACGACATGTCACCCAAACGACAGGAGCATGCAGGATCCCGGCCGCCGCCGATGGTGCAGACTGCTCCACCGCCTCCACCGGCTGCTGACGTGGAGAACCAGACTC